CACCGCGGAAGGGGCCGGATGGGGGCGGGCGGGAGGAAGGAAGAATATGCGGCTGCAAGAAAGAGCCGTCCAATATTTCAGCTCGGGTACGATCGCGACTGAGCGACCGAGCGACCACTTGAAATATCTTGTCGCCGGGGAAAACTTTCAGACCCCGGCGAAACTGAAACATGCTGACGTAACCGTAAAGATGGCGGGGCGCAAACTCGGGGCTCCCTCTCGTGTCCACTTCCGTTCCTCGCCTCTTCCTACCTTACCGCCCCCTTTTCCTGCCCCTTCTGGCCGCCTTCCTGCCCGGCTTCTGCATCGTGTGCATCCGGACTCCCCTGCAACCCCCGAGGACCCTCCCATCTCTGTGATTTTAACCTCCCTTTTCAAGTACACCTGCGCGATAAGGTACCTTCTCCGTTTTACGTTTCCTCGCGACGACGAAGAGGTGAAAAATCAGCCATCGGTCATTTAAGACCGGTGGAAGGAGTTTTCATTATTTAAGGTTCCCCGAGAGGGGAAAATTCGGGACTTAACGTAACGGGGGGGATTACCCCTTAGCTTTATATTCATTATTCCGCAACTTCGTCTTTCAATTGAAGGTACTAAGGTAACGCCTTATCGTGGGTACGAGAGCTGCGGGACCCCGGAAGTAAGGATCTAGGATCGCGAGGGAGATTTCATTTCGCGGGTTTAGGGCAGAAACGCCGCGACCCTCGGCGAGGGCCGAGTTTCCCTTCGTGGTCCCCTCTGGCCGCCACCCCTGGCTCTAATTTACGAGCCCCGGGTGGAGGAGGAGGGCGCCGCTAAATGTTCCCCTGCAAGACGAAACCGGGAGACCGGAGCGTCTCGGCGTGGAGGTGGACGCGCCTCGGGGGCCGAAGTGGAACTGAGCCCTCGCGGGGCTGCGGGCCGTCGCGGCGCCGGGGTGGCGCGCCGCGGCGCCACGTGGCCACCCCTACCACCTGCCCCCACTCGCGCCCCCGCCACCCCCGACACTTACGTCCGCCTCGGCTCCGCGCCCGCCGCCGACCACCCACCGCCCACCGACTGCCTCCACCCCCACCCCTCCTGACTCCCTATCTCCCCATCGGGACTCCGATCGCCTCGTATCCGAGCGCTGCGTAAGTAGACGCGGAGGGGCCGGACCCTTGGGGGTGGAGACTACCTCCTGCTCTTCTGGGGGTGGAATTGCACACGCGAATAGCGCCGGTAATTCCTTCCTCTCTGTCGCAGTTCCCGAGATAGAGGCGCCTACCGAGACCCGGAGATATGCGCCCTCGATAACGATGCCGGGCCTGTTCCGGGGTCGCCCTGAGACCTCTCGACGGGGCCTCGGGAGGCCTCGATTAATCCACCACGTAATCGGGTCTCCGGATTCTTCGACATCACCCCTGTTATTACGTTATTTCCTTTATTCGGATTTCCTTTAATGCACACTTCTAGTTAAAGGTATATCAAAGGTGTTTGGAGTACCACTTTTAACCCCCTACTGTTGGTCTTAATGGCCTTAATTGTCAATTTTCTTCCCGGAACTCTTGCACCTTTCTTAATTACTCAAGATTTATGGGAATCTCTATTCGGGCTATCAATGTACCCTGCTAAGATTTTATAGGGAAATCTGCACCGACGAGATATGCATCGAGCGACGTAGAGGCTTTACGGATCGAAGTCATCGGCGTAGCAACTTTCCGGCGATTTCACGTGGGACGTAAAAATACGGGCGGGGAGCACGTGCCAAAATGCACGGGCCGCGCGACAATTTAGCGCTGTATCAATTTCTCAAAATGACTCGCAACCAAAAGGTCGTACAATAAATCCAGCCGTGTCTCCGCCGTTCGGGAAGTCGCGTAACGTGTATAACGAAACGTAACTCGATGTAATTCAATCGGCGTTGCATTTTTGCCCCGCGGCCCTATATCCGCATGCATATATACGTATATATGTACGTATGTACACGTATATGCATATATCGACGGGTCCAGGCTACGTTCTAGGCTGCTTAGAGTGTCGTTGTATCTCTCCTGGTTGGACGCGGGGACAAATATTCCGATAAAAATTCCGCCCAGTGACGTAGAACGTTAAAAGTTACGCGAACCTCCGGCAGATTCCATTCCCCGACGCGCCTACCTGGGCGGAGATTCCTCCGAAAAAGCTGTTCTTCGTTTTTTTTCCTAACCTCCCCGGAACGGGGAATTAATCGCGAGGGAATTATTTCCGCGGAGATTCCTCCGCGGAATACTTGACAATCTGTAGCGGGGATTTTTTTTTTTTCTACTTCAACGTGTAGTTTTTAAATTCCTTGGTAAATGGAGGACGGATATTACGAATATTCTGAGCCGATATACCCTATGTTACGAATAGTAATGAGCTTTCCGTGATACTTGGAGGTTATCATCCGGCTGGATCGTCCCGGTGGAAATATTTTGCGCCCTAATTTATATTTCTCACGCGTACTCTTTTGGAAAATGGAGATAAGATATTACGAATGCTCGTAAAGGAGCTTTCAGCGATATTCAGGGGTCCTTATCCCGGGTTACTTCCATCCGCGAACGTCGTAACCCTTTTTTCCCCTAAATACATAATTTTTACATGTATTCTCTTTGAAAATAGAGGAAAGATATTCCGAACGTTATTGTCCGGGATATTTCCATCCTCGATCGTAACCCTCGATCGCGATCGCCGAAACAGATCTTGTAACCATTTCCAGTCCGGCTGGATCGGAGGACCGGCGGGACAAAAAATGGAATCGGTGTGGAGAATCCATTAGTAGGGCCAGGGGTGCGTTTTACCATCGACGCGCGATCTTTCATCCGACGACGAAGTGGAGTGGAGCGGAGTAGAGCAGGGTGGCGCGCGGAGTGGAGTGGAGAGAGTTCGCCCCACCTCGGGATTTCAACCTCCTCTCCTTCCCTTGTCCGAGGGTGCCGATCGCTCGCGCGGTCGCGTAATAAACCCTCGCGAGTGAACTTACGTTATGCCGGGGTGAAATTCGGCCGCGAGCGAAGCGGGGCCCCGATGGAGCCGCTTCTTTGTCGGAGATTTCGCGCGGCTGCCATGACGGTTCGCGGGCCGCGAGAGGCGGCACTGGGAAGCTGCCAAGCCGGCCGCCAGAGGCGCGGCGGTCGCTCGCGGACAAAGTGGACCCGCCGATGCATAAAGCCTGGCTCCCGAGCAAAAATCCTACGGCGGGGGGCGAGTTCGGTAAATATTACCGCGCCGACACTTTTTCTTCCCTGTCCGCGCGCGTTCGCGTCCTCATAAACCAAGTAATGACGCCGGGCGCGAAACCCAATTTCCCGGAGCCGCCACCGCGGTGGTGCGACCGTCGCCGCGGTGGAGACGCCCCGGCTCGACCGCGGCCAAAACCGACACGAGGCGAGGACGAGCCGTAAATCAACGAGCTTTGTCCGAGAGAGACAAGTCCGACACCGTATACTCGATACCTACACTCCTCCGCTTCGACTTTTCCCTAAACAACATCGGCTCGACCCCCGATGCATGCGACGCGTATATCTCCGAAATACATCCCCGATTCCACCGACCCGGAATCTGGGATAGATTAAGTTAGGTTAGGATTATCACCCGCGTCCGCTCAAAAGCTTCCTTGATCACCGAATAACCCTTATTTCGGCGACCTGGTACTTGAGCTATACTGATAAAAATACATGGAAATGCATATATACATTTTTACATACCCCGTAACTAAGGGTTTACATAGAAAAAAAAAATGTAAAATGGAGAGATTGTACAAATTTTCATGAGAGAAATCTCTGTTTTGACGACTTACCATCGAGTTAAGCTAGGTTAGGGTACGCTTATCTACTGTTGTGGGGTCCCATGAAACTCGCGATACGTGTCATTTTTATGATCTACAATTTGACAAAGTCAGTAAAGGGTCAATGGATTCCTTTGACGGTATGATGATCGTGATACCTTCATGACCACGGGTACAAAAGTTAATAAAGTACTTTTAGAGGCTCCAATGCTTTGCCGAAGCCATGCCTTTGCCCAGGCTGTAAACTCGAGCTGGCTCGGAGAAAATCGGAGAAAATCGGAGCCGAACGGAGAATGGCAAAAGTCGGCGGAGGGAAATCGAAGTCCTTGGTGGAGGTTGAAAACAGCAGACCTCTCGGGTTTTTGCGATTCCCAAGAAACCGCTTGCGGTCGATCTTCGCCGGAATCGCGAGGCGGTTTCGCGAATCTCTGTATTTATCCAAGTGGCGAGTTCCCCGTAGCCCGGGCGATGTCTATCGCCTCCAATAATAAATTCTCGCATTAGCTCGAGACATGCCGGCGGTATTAATACGTGCATCGCACTTTTACGAACGCGGGCTTCCCCGCGACACCCGTCATTTTTGCAGGTTAGAGTGCACTAGTCGATTTAACGCCGTACCGACGTACTTCAATTTGCCTGATAGCGCGTTTCCTCAACAAGTACGCGTCTGGACACTTTTAACGCATCTCTCGATATATTATACACATCGTCGAACGTACGTTCACCCGGAACGCAAATTCATCCGAAAAATATCTTACTCCTCTGCGACGCAATGCCTACTTCTAAAGTCCACGTTTTCCGGCTCTACCTTGTGACAACGATATCAAAGATACCTTTCGCCTTAACGGCCCTTTAAATATCTATATCCCATTACCCAATGTGTCAATTCCATCCGTAAGAAATGCCATCTGCGTGTCAATTTAAGGTAATGACCTATCAACCATAAAATTAATCGAGTTGGATTTACAACCGATAAAATCCCCGGTTTTTTTTTTTCTTTTTTTTTCATTTTCACTATCCTAATGACAATCGTATAAGAAATACGTTTCGTGTTCGCCCTTTGAATATCTCTGTACTATTACCCGATATGACCCGATGGTCGAATTCGGTACCCGCGAAAAGCCTCCATCTGCGCGTCAATATTAAATAATATTCCATAAGACACGAAAAGCCGCCAATTGTGCTGGGTCCTCTAGAACTGTTTAACGTTAATCCCCCGTTTTCTCCTTTTCAGATCCGTCGACGCGCGATCCTGCTCGGAGGGTGCCGATCCGCATTAGTACCAATTAGTGCGCAAGGTGCTTCGTTACAGCCGGTAGGGGTGGAGGGAGACGGAATCATCATTGTGTTCGAAGATCACGGTGGACGTCTTCGGGACATCCGTGGGATCAGGAGCGAAGGAGGCCGGTCTTGCGAAGGATCGGCCGGATTTCCTGTCCAGATCTCTCTTGGAACGGCGTTCCGCCGTGTTTAAGGATAATCGTGGCCCGACTCGATGGTTTCTCGTTTGCTTTTTCCGTTTCCATCGCGCTCACACCTCTATTCCTTCGGTCTCTTTCTCTCTCTCTTTCTCTCTTTCCTCGAGCCCTCGGGTCCCTCGAACTTCCGCGAAGCCGGACCGAAGGAGGAAAAAAGTTTCTCGCTGTCTCTTCGCCTCGGACACGGACGGCTCGAGAAAGGCGAGAACAATCGAGGAAACTCGGAAAATGCCGCGCTAAACCTCCTTAGTTCATATCTCTTCCGACGTCCCTTCGTCGCGAGGCAGATTCTCGAGTCGAAATTTTCATCCTAGAACCTCCAACCGGAGACCTTAGTCGGATCTTAAGGGGATTTCATAAATGAACTATGAAAATCATCCCCTGGGCAGATGTGTCCATTTCTTCCACCTTTGACCCTAAACTGGGACTTAACCCTGGTTAACAGGGTACGTAGATTTAACGCGGTTAATTCTTTCTCTTTTTCTTCTGGCTGAATTATATACACCCTATACGTAATATTATCACCTGAAGTATATCATTACTGCTGGTATAAAGATTGTACGTAAAAAAGTTCACCATAGTAATCCTTTTTATAATCTCTACAGTAGCGGTAATGACGCCCTGCAGGTGAAAGTTTCGTTGCTTGGTTTGTTTGTCATTCAGCTTGAAAATATGTTATAAATTATTACACCGTGTCTGAGTAAAACTTCCAAGAAAAATCTTATAAAATTATTTTTTTTTTTTTAACAGTGTGGAGGATTACCGAAAGAGGTCGAAACAGGGCTAAAATTTTGACTGGAGAATTCCTAAGACGGGAGGAGAGCTAGATAGGTAGATAGACGTATAGCTAGGTAGCTAGATAGACAGAATAGATAGATAATGGATGCGAAAGTGAGAAGGAAAGAGAGAGTGAGACGCGCCTCGTGAATTCTTAATTCAGCGACGTACGGGTACGATTCAAGTCAATTTTTAACGTAAGGCAAACTAGATCCACCGGTAGCCGTATACTCGCGGACGTTACGTATATTGATAATAAATTATACATACGGATATATATAGATATATATAGGTATACATATACATATATACATAGTACGGATCGCGACGAGAAGCGCCTCGCGATTATGGAACGGCGTTGATAAGAACAGAGATATGGAGGAAGGTGCTAAGTAACACGCAGAAAAATGTCCGCGTACAACGATCTCTGTCGGTCTGAAGTTAAGGGGAAGGTGAAAAAAAATGCAAAAAGAGTAACCTCATTGAGCTGTAAGGAACGCACACGCGTGCGAGCACAATAAATACGTGTACATATAAGGTTAACTGACGTACGTGGGGACGTGTGATTGCGCGTCACGCGGATACGTGTATGCATCTAATCTATATACATATATAAATATTATACATAGGTATGCGCAGTGGAAGTACCAGATATATGTATACATATATTCCACAGCGTAAACACATTACACGTTCACTAGTGTCATATGGATTTATAATATATACAGTATATATATATACATATATGTATAGGTAATGCCATAGGGTACGCGTCGAATTTAGGGCGAAAATAGGTATTTTGCGCGAATCAAAAGCGAACGGCTAGATGGGAGAGCGCGCCGGAAGCTTCCGACACCGTCTGTTTGTCTGCTTGTTAAGTCTAGAGACAAAGTATTAAATTGTTCGATATTTAATTACGTCTAAAGCCTGGTTCCACACGCACAGCGTTTGGTATCCGATCGTTACGATGCTTTGACACGTTCTCCGATTTTTATTCAGGTTCATTGTTTAATTCCTGCCCTAAGTTCAGGTCGTAACAATGATTTGTTCAATGCTACTCGACTGAGTGAATCGCGCGAACACTCGAGTTTATGTTCTTGTATCTTGAGTATAATGTTGGATGTTCGAACGGTCCAGAGGTTTGTCGAAGGGGTGAAAACAGGCTGAACAGTTAAAACGTACAACTTGGTGAGCAATTTAATACATTGGTCGAGCTGATAGAGACGGTGTTAAGAGGTGTTGTTCGATGTTCATGTCGGGACGTTATCGCGATCCTTCGTCAGGAAAATGGAGACGTTAGACAATTCGAAGAGGTTGGCTCCCCGTTAGGATGTACAATGATAGGATGGAACTCCTTCGCGGAATTATCGGGTGCCCTTGCCGTGTGGTAATTGCCAAGCTATTAATGTTACAGTAAGACGGTGAGTGTATTTTAACGTTACGGTTAAGTGCACGGATAGAAGGGATGCGCGAAAATTGAAGATGGACGGAGAACCGGGCAAATCCATGTTTCGATTGACCCGTTCTCCACTGTCCATCGGTACATCTGACATGGCGGATTTTTTTCCTCCTTTCTTTCCATTTTGACGACCCTCGACTTGCACGGATTTGCTGTTCTCTGATTTTCTGGAAACTGTGAAATTCGCGGGTGCTCCCACGGCACCGGAGATTTATAGTACAAGTGACATACAGTGATTGCACCGAGACAATCGTTGTCGTGCCGGATAATAATAGGAATCGCGGTGGTCGATTTGCAATCTCGCTTTCCGTGAAAGACTAGACAATTCGACTCGTAGTCGGAATCGGAGTGAAACGAAGAATCGCTCGGAGTAGTGCACCGATGAGTTCGTCAAATTTCTTTTATGCTAATACCGCCAGCAATGAGCTCGAGAGAGAGACTCGTGGGAAATTTCGGAACGAGCTCTAACTACCCTCCCGCCCTTGCGATGCTTCTTTATTTCCGATTTTAAATTAGGACATTTTCTTCGACCTCCTTCGGAAGTGATCATTGGTCACGTATTCGCCGTCGCGACTCTATGAAATCCCCCGGATTGCTAATTTCGCGAACATCCAGCGAAGTTCCTCGGAAGAGGAGACCCATTGGCACATTTTCGATCGTTACTACCTCGTCTCCAGGTCTCGTGAATCTTTCTTTCCGACGATGTGGATTAAAGTAGCCGGGCACTTTTATGACGTTTGAGATTTAAACCGCACCGTAATCGTCGCATCTCCAAAACTCTTTTTTCTTATATCGTTTATGTAGGTAAATATAATCTTGTTAATCTAAATTCTCTTCGGCCAGTGTAAATAAAAGTAAAAGAGCTTGTACGTTATCTTGAGAAAAAATAAGAAAAGAAAGAAACCATCGTATCTTCAGGACTCGTTAATTTTTCTTCTTCTTTTTTTTTCCGGAGACGTGGAGAAACACGAACGAATTCTTTTTTCATTTTGGGAAACCTTAAATATTAAACATGTTACGTGTAAATCGCATTTATGCTCCTCTTAGTCCAATCGTGAGTCACATTCCTGTTATTTGTAGCATGCTGTCAAATCGATAGGCAAAATGAAAGTACAAAAACTAATATAATCGATCGGATTGCTTCGTAAATGCGTGCGAAAACGGATTCTCGCGATTCGATCTTACTTTCCCTTGTTAATTAGAAGAGGAAGAAAAAAAGGACAAGTGAACTAAGGGGAAAAATGAGTGTGTAGCTAGCAAGTTGACACGGTACTCCGGAGTATTGCACACGATTAGGTAGAATAAATAATAAAAGAATTGCATGTCAGGGAATAAGAGAAACACGGTCGTGAAGAGAGAAAGAAGGAAAGTCCCGTCAGCGGGAAATCGATATTTATCCGTATCGATTTCGACTTTCCACCGCACTTATCGATCGGCGGTACGTCCCTTTTGTCTTGTGCTATTTTCTATATTAGGGGGCCCCGTGAGTTTGAGTCTAAATTACGCTCAAAGTATGAAGGCTGACAATAAAAAAACGGTGTCACGTGGCGTGCGCAATTCTCTTAACGTAGGTTGCAAATTGTAAGTACTAGTGCCATCCAATTACCTAGAAAGTCAATTTAAGGTACAACCATTGTCAGCTTTCATCCGTCAATTATCCACAAGGTTGAGTCAAAATTATGATTAAGATATGATAACTGACAATAAGCCCGAGTATCCCTAGACGAATCCCCCTGCGCAATTGCAAACGAACGTCGCACTCATTCGGACTAGACCTCGTAATTGACCTGTGAACAATTGTCCGAAAATTCAAGGTTGTACAGAAATACAAATCATCGTCCATCCCAGTCCTGAATGCTTAACACGGTACACAGTTCCAAGGCCTAATTGCAAATCATTTGCGTCAAAACTACCCCGAACCCTGTCGGAACTTTCTACGTAAAAGTGCGTACACTTCCTCCTTTGATTTCGAGTTTTCGGACATTGTAAGCGAGACTTTTTCATCCTTAACGACACGTTCTCAAACCTCGGTCGCATTAAATCAAGGCGATCGCTACACTGTTAAAAAAAATTCATACACTTTTAGTACATAAGGTTGCAATAATATTATAAATTTGATGTCTTAAAAGTGAATTAGTATACATTTGATGCAAACTTCTAAATAAACTTACGATTTTATAACATTATGTTATATTTTTGTGAAATTCTGTGGGAAAATTATTAACTTTATATTCGGAAGTCACTTAAGCACACATTAATTATAATTTTCTGATATGAGTCTTTAATCTTATGACACTATTTTATAATTGTGTCTTCTAAAATTATTTTAAAATTATAATACGCGTATTACAAAATTATTAGTTTTTCTTTTTTTGTGTTTAATTTTACTACGTACGAATGTCCTGAAATTATGATACATATATCATAAAATTACTGATATCCTTCATAATTTTATTACATACGCCTGTACTAAATTTATAACACATGTTATATACTTTATTTGAAACTATGTTATAAAATTCACCGAATTTTTTTAACAGTGTACGATACAATCGGCTACCACAGCCCAACCGCGAATACATACCAAGGAACTATTGTTTTATCATTGATAGTCATAATTTTGTCTCACCCTCCACTTTTCCATCCGACAGAAGCGAGCTCTCGTCGACATTGTCCACGCTACAGGACGTGGAAAAAGTTCCCGTAGAAAATTCAAATAGAAAATTAAACTTCATTCGGACGAAACAATTGTCACCGAAATGTCATGTCATACATTTTAAGGTCGGACTTTCTACGGGAATATTTTTTTCACAGCACTGTACAGAGAACACTGGCCAAAGCATGTCACGTATGCACGAGAATATGCACTAGTGCCGCGTGTCTAGGGAGAACTAGGGGAATTCGGGTGCATCTAGAGAAAAGAAATAGAATGTTACTGCTATCAGTACTCGCTCGTCAATTATGCTTCGGGTCAACATGACAAAAGCGTGAAAACCGACACGAAAGGGCATGTAAAGCCCGTGACCACGCGTAGGTACATTCTCGCTGGCATAAGTCGACATGTCGTTTCGGCACAGTGCTAAGTATGACAGATCATCGGTCCGTTTTCATTTGTTGGCCGCAATTTCGTCCCGTGTCGCTTAATTAACGGACTAGATAGTCACAGGAAAAGAGTCTAAAAGGCTCGCGAGGAGATCTCGGCGTGGACTCGTGAAGAACCTAGCGCTACGTTTTCTTTCTATTCTCTTTTTTTTTGTTCTACATTTAGAAGCGGTTTGTGGGTAAACGATAATACTATATAGAGCAGTCTTCAAAGGGCCGACCTCCCTTCGCCGGAGAATACTTGCATTACTCTGTACTTTTACACGAAAAACCCCGTGGGACGAGGGGCCGTTTCCGTAAGGGTACATAACTTGTAACTCGTTTTTAGTTGTATAGTGTATTATTTTCTTCCATTGCCCCCCCTCGGTTTCGCTTTCGTGTTCTATCCCCCCTATCCCTCTATCACCTCCCGATACCAACACGGACACGCAGAGTCACACATGCGTACACGTTTGAAGATGCGTAAGAAGTAGATACCACTTGAAACTTGAGTTATATATTTAACTTGGATACTATTTAATATATGATTCAAGCTTATATAATAAACGGGTTGTATAAAAGTATGCCGATGTTTATTGCCGAACCGCACGTTTCATCAGCGAAATTGAATAAGAGTCGAAGGTAACGATCGGCCAGATATTCCTATCTTGAAATTTCTTCGTAAGAGTAACTTCAGTGGTAAGAACTTGTTACGAGCCGTTAACCTTCATGCCTTCTTTAATTTTCTTCTCAGTTTACTGCCGTCAGATTCGAACGGACCCGCGGTAGTAAATTGGGGAGATAATAGTACCACTGAAAATTTCTTGATGTCATTTATATTCAATTAGAAACGTAGCAAAGACGGGTGGAAGAGAAGGAAACATTGGAAATAGGCATGGAGATTAAACTGGCGGAATTATGCAAATTCGAGGTGCGAGTACTCGATCACAAGTCAAAGGACAAGTGCCGATCGCAGTAGGAGATCGACTTCTCTCCCGTCGAGCTTCTTGAGGCCCGATTTTGACACAGATACGTCCTCGAACCATCGACAAAGATCCACTAAGTGGTGTATCTGTAGCCCCCTTAAAGACCCGTCAGGCGCGGTGGCATTTGATCGTGTCTAAAGAACGGGGATCTTTTCCGCAAATTGACAGCTGTCAGGAGACGAAATGTAGGGATAGTTGCGGCCTGTTAAGTGACGTTCCATTGAGCCAATTAAAGATCCATCGCGATTGGCTGCACTCGTTTCGAAGGGGCTCGCAAATGATCGATCCGATCTACATATGCTCCCGAAATAAATCATTCTTCCTCCGCATGGCTTGATCCTGAAAAAATTCGGCGTTATTAGGTAAAAAGTGGATAGATACCTCCAGAAACACGTGCGGGCAGACGTGTGTGCAAATGTGCCCATACGTGTGCAAGCATACGCAGATCTCGGTGAAGTGTTATCAGTCAATGTCGGGGAGAAGAATAGCGTATTGTGGCATCACCGGCCGTGGGAGAAACGCGGTGGATGTTGAGCGGACAGGAAGGAACACCCTTAAAATGGGACTCTCTAAGTGCAAGGGTAGTCCTCCGCCAGATTCCCCCAGTTTCCTCGAGCCCTTTTCCCCGTCCTGCTCGCCTGCAAGTACAATACTTCTTAGCGCTCTCATAAGGGGGAAGTGCATCTTAATGGCGCCGATCGATTCCAACCGAGGAGCCATTTCGGTGTCTTTCTCAAAACCCAAGGGGGTTGATAGTTTCCGGTTTCTTTATCGGGCCTCGTATCTCGGAAGCACCGCTTTTTTTTTTTTTTTCGCCCGGTAGTTTCCCTCCCTCGCGAGGAGTTAAATGAGACCGAAGTTCCGGCGAACGGCGTCGCCTTTCCCGCACTTAAGATGCAAATTCCCTCCTCGTGCTAACTTTTCAATACTTCGGGCGAATTGGCATGGGATCCGCCTTCGGCCGAGGACCTCGAGGATCTCGCCGAGACGTCGGGGGTGAAACCTGCCGTCCGGGGAAAGATTTCTTTCGATTTAATTAGGGCTGATTCGCCCCTCATAACGTGTGTGTGCCACAGCAATATGGCGCGAGACCCGGCCCGGCACCCACAGAAATTCTTAATTAAATTCTCGACGCTTTCTCGGGCTAACCGTGGCGAAACTGGAACTCCATCGGAGTTTTTTCATTCGGGATTCACGAGTTAACCGGGCCCGGTGTAGGTGTATACAGGGTGAGCCGTTTCGAAGGATCCATCGGATCCACTGGAACTGGAAATGAACTAGGCGTCTTCGTATCGGAAATGTTCGACTCTTTGATCTAAAATTTTATATATACAAGTATTTAACAGCACGCAGTCAAAACATTGCTGACATCAAATAACGTGTCTACCTTGGTTGTTAATTGTATCAAGTAATTACTCATCTCATCTCGCTGATACCGACACTTCTTGCAAAGTAATTTCTCTTGTAAATCAAGGATTTTTCTGTAAAATATTTTTACCCTCTTATCGGACGAAGTAAAGTGATCGAGTGATTTTTTTGCCCACGAGTCACCCTGTATACCAGCTAACCTGAGCAACCACTACAATCTCACACGCACCTCTCCACTGGGTAACTTCAGATTGCATCGGAATACCTTTGCACCATCTCCCCCACTTAGTTTTATTCCACTCTTTGTCCGCGTGTTCCACCATGACAAGATTTCTCAATTCATTCCGAGCAATTGTTTCGGATTCATTTGCACCGGCAGGCTGAATTTTTTCCTTTTATATCATTAAACTTCAAGCCGAACTCCTTTCGCAATAATTGCGCCTTTCTAAAAATTATAGCGGTGCCGATTATCGGATCGATCCTGAATATCATTCATTGCCTACACTTAATTCAGCTGTTAAAACGAGTGTCAGTCGATAACGATGACATGTATATAGGTGTGAAAATATTTGTTTAATTATCCCCTTTCGAAGGCAGAACTAAAGCTACCGAATAACCTGCCCAGTGTACAAGGTGTGCCAGAACTTTTTGTATCTTCTTTTTAATAAGCATTTAAATCATGATTTAAACCTGACACGTCGTGGGCCAACAATTGACGAAAGGAATAAAATTATACTTTACCAATCAATTATAAAGTAAATAGAAATCGACTGTCGAGCGAAATTTGGTGACCTTGATTCATTGATTTTTCATTTGGCCGATTCTAATCCCTGATCATTATTATTAATCGCATTTTTCTTCCGGAATCTTTCTATGCACATTCTCTTCTGTCACTTTCCGTTGCATTTAAGTTGGCTTGAGAAACGCAAGGAAGGAAAACACTACCGTTGTAATTCCGATAATTCTAGAACCCCCTATATACAAGAATTGTCATATTAAATACGTTTATTCAAGTGGACGCTGTAGCACGATCGAGGAATATTTTAGTTACTAGCAACACCGCGAGATTAGAACATTATGAAATATTTCACTGTGAACCGACGGGCGAAACTAGTGGGAATGCAAATTAAGAATTACTTTTTCGATTCGAGAACCCTCTACGAGTTAAGAATAATACGTCACGTTAAAACTTCTAATTCTCGCATCCTTTATCGAAAACGAACATTCTTTAAGCGTGAAATATTGAGTTAATGACATTTTCCGTACTTATTAACTTTGCAGAGGCTTGATGCCTCCATCGGTTACCGTTGGAAGTTATTCAAACTAATTATGGCGCCCTGTTGTAGCGCTACTGTCGGAGCGCGTACGAACTATTGAGTAGATGGAAAACCTACTACAGTTAATATAGGAAATGAACGTATCAACGCCATCGCGTTAGTTCCTTCGCAACACACATTTGCCAGGTGGCGCTGAAGTCACAATGTCGACCAGTTAGAAACAAGATGGCTGCCTCCAACTCAAGTATATCCAGTGATATTCCAGCCAAGAAGGAGGACGAATTTAACGAATTTTACACAGAAGTATGCACGATTACCTTTGAATCGATTTACAGTGATCGCCGTGTTTACAAATCGCAGTAAATTCGAAGCTTCTCGCGTTATATAACCGTGGAACTGATAGTGACCGTGTGCAGCTCCTACAAACGTCACAGATATTTATTATCGTTTAGCGTTTTCATTACTCGACAGCTAAAGCCGTTTATTTTACTTTCCTATCGGCGAAATTGACTACCGTATTTACCAAACGGGAACGCAATTACGACATTCGGGAAGTACGAGTTAAACGCGGATGTTTGAACGTACATAACCTAAAAATTCATACTGACACCCCGAATTGTTTGATCGCAACATAAGATTCTATTTGTTCCCTTCACAGGTAAAGGAAATAGAAAAGCGAGACTCTGTCTTAACGCCTAAGCAACAAATTGAGAGGTTGTTGAGACCAGGTTCCTCGTACTTCAATTTAAATCCCTTCGAGGTTTTGCAAATTGACCCGTCAACTTCTATCGAGGACGTTAAGAAAAAATATCGGCGTGTAAGTAGTCTTTATTTTGTTTAATAAAGTAAGGGAAGTCTAATTGTAATCTGTGAGTGATCGTATCTTGTATCTTGCGTGAATTACAGATGTCAATTTTGGTCCATCCAGATAAAAACCAAGACGATGCGGAAAGAGCCCAGCAGGCTTTCGAAAGTACGTGTTAGCAAGGTGGTAATGGATTATACCAAAAGTCTTATGATTATATCATGATTCATTAAGTTTTCCCTTTTCTCAGTTGTAAATAAAGCATGGAAAACATTAGAAAGCGAAGAAACGAGAGCAAAATGTATGGACGTCATAGAAGAAGCAAAAGCACGTACCGACCACATGGTAAGGAATTTAGACTTGTCCTTTTCATTATACCAAGCTTTGATTACTAATGTTGAGTCAACAGATTACAGAAAAGAAAAAAAAGTTAAAGAAAGAAGGGAAAACGGTTGATGGGGCAGGAGTACCTCTATTAGAAGAAGAAACCGAAGAAGGCTACACACACGCAGTATGGGTCATGACAATGAAATTGTTTGCTGACATGGAACGCAGAAGGTTTGTATATAAACTCGTCCTTGCACTTAATTTAACTCATTTTAAATAATACCCATTCTCATCTGCTTTCACAGAAGAGAACTTGCAACCAGAGACGCGGAACAACGAAAGAGAAAAAGAGAGGAAGAATTAACAGCGGAAGCACAAGCAGCAATGGAGCGCGAATGGCAACGAAATTTCGAAGAATCCAGACAATCGCGTGTCGACAGTTGGAAAGCTTTCCAATCCGGTAGTGGTGCCACAAAGCAGAAGAAAACAAAAAAAATGAAAGCGTTTAGGCCTCCAAAAACAAAAGCTGAATCTCGATAAACGCTTTAACGTCAGGCTTCACCATTCCTGGCACCTGATGCTAAATCCACATGTCAAATACGATACATCAAGAGATGCATTTTCAGTCTGTTCCGATGTTCGAAATAATGGATTTCTGAAATGGAGCATGAAAGGAGTAGGTGTCCAGGAAGAAAGTATAGTTTTTAAATATCATGAGAAAGAGAGAGAAAAGAGAGAAAGACAAAAAGTGGAGATACCGAGAAGGACTTGAGAAAATATAATGTGGGTTTGTGCATCAAGCAATATGTTTGTCCGAGTCTAAGTATGACTGTGTTCGATTGAAAAGTTCTTACATGGCCCGATACCTCTAAACGGTCTACCTCCTCGCATAGAACTATCGACTTTTACGTTTCGAAAATTGAAATTATTCCCATCACTAAGTTTTGGTGGAAGAAAACTCCTCTTCTTGTCATGAATTTTCATTACGTGTACATATTATGAAATTATGAGTGATAGATAATACGATGGCACAAGTGTTGCCTATACCATAAAAACAACTGTTCATTTTGACAAGTTGGAAACAATGCACAAGATAAGAATTATTTGAAATCAGTTTTCCACGAGACATGACAGTTTTGTCAATTAATAATTGTCAACAGATCAAGCAAACTGGATTCTCAACATGGAAATGTACTTTTGTTTCGAAAAAAACTTTCAAGCATGTTAAGCTGCATCATTACAGTTTAATGGGCCATGTAACCGGGCATCCGTTTCGAGAATCACGGTGCACGGAGTTCATTCATTTTGCATAATAAATGTAATATTTTTATGCATTTGTGTTTAAATTATACCGCCGCAACTCCAATAAATACTCGTACGTTAAATCAAAACACTTAACGCTAAGTCAGACTAGCTTAACTTTAAAGAACGTTAAGCAACACAATGTAAATTAAAATCAATTTGTATAAACAAGGATGCTGTGGCGAAATAAAACCTAGGTAGATATCAGATTACTTTGCCAGGAGTAGCAGTAGAAATCGGAACAACCCATTTAGCTAAAAAGAAATATGATTTTGATCGAAAGCTTGAACTTTATACCCTGATTTAAACCAGAGATGAGTTGGGAGATTGCTTACGGGCAGGATCAGAGAAGCATCTCTGTTTAAACTAGATTTCATTCAATTTTTAAATTGTACAGCTTGATAAACTCTCTACTGATCAATTTTATCCAACCAATCAGAATTGCGGTTAATATCGTGCGACATTTTCGCTGAAATTTTAATTAGTTTTCCATCCTCGACAGATTGACGTGTCGCGCTCTGTATGACACCTTACGCGACCAAGTGGTTATGTTGGATGCACTTTTCAGATTTCAGCAGTCGGTAATGCAGGTTCTTTACTCCAATACCAATATTTTACAGAGATGAGTTGGGTGATTGCTTACGACTGGGTAAAATAAGTGTTTATATACAAAATTACCCGCGCGAATTGTCATTAATTCACGATTATTTCCTCTGAAAACTCATTAAATTCGATTTACTTTTCTACGTTCTAACGAGAGGTTACAAACATTGAAGTTCAGCAGTTTGGCAACTTCACGGATGGGACAAATTTTGAAAATCACTGTTTATTAATGTTTTTGATGCATACACCCGTAATAATAGTCTTGTCAATGCTAACTTACCTTCGGAGTAATACATTTGACACAACACATGCCCAAGAGCTGTCTTAAAACGGGTTAATGTTAGTCGACGGATATGGCAGTATACGGTCTCGCTCTTCTTCGAAGAAATCTTTCGATAACCGGTAAGAATGTGTCAGTACTTGATAATACTTAATAACCTTAAAGTCATTTGAAATTTCAGTCTTCGACTGAAACGCACAATTTATTAGGACGTCTAACATACATAAAGTATTTCCAGAGCGTATGCATTCGTCAGTAAAGGGAGTAGAGTATTATAGTTTATTTTCCAACAGAAAGGCTCCCGAAATTAAGAAATCATCAGAAACTGTTGATGAGTGTCACAATTTCATTCTTGGAAACAAGCAACGTCGTGAGACAAAAAATTACTGAGACGGCAGGTTAATTTGCCGACTCAATCTTGAAGTTCCTTCTTGGTTTGAACTTTACTTGGGGGTGTCAAAAAAATCCAGCCATTTCCTTGGATGTCGAGAAATCCCTAAATACGAAATCAACAGTGTAACGAAGAAAGAAATATCAGTAAGCGTTGAAGAGGATACATACATTCTTCACACTTGGGTACTTTTGTAATGAATAGCTTCTCTATTATTTAACATATTATAAATATATTTTCAATGAATGAATTCGTGTCTAGAGACGCTATCTTGGTTGTCTGGGATATCTGTGTACAGTTCCCTACAAAGTTCAAGGTAATGAATGTCTATACCTTTGTAGGAAGGAATTGAACATTTAAAGGGAAGCTGTTAGGCAAGCCGAATAATTCAGTGATGTCGAGACAATGACACTACATGACTTAAGTACCAAACTGGAGGAGTTTTTAAATAGTGAAACACCTGAGCGAGCACAGGAATTCTTTGACTCTCCAGCATACGATGAAGTCTTCAGAGAACACAAGAAGCAGATCATAAACATAATCACCCCATTCCTTACTGCTCACAACGCTGCTAAGAATCCACAATTGATTCAATGCTGTGAGAACGTGCTGCTTAAGATAGCGCAAAAGCATTGTTCTACCGACCTAATTTTAGAATTTCTGGAAGAAGTCGAGTGCTCAAATGGCGATGCCCTAAAGTTTTGTACAATTTTAAAGCCACTCACCGAGTGTTTATGTAAAACTCAAGATATTAACGCAACGGTATGGGTTCTGGGTACTATAAAATTATATGTGGAGGATCTACCAGTACCAGAAGATGAGATACCTGAAGAGGAAGGGGAAAACCTTGCGGATGCGGATTCTGTAGTTACTAGAATAATAGAAGTTTACAAAGCTATTTTAGACTTCTTGTGTCATATCATTTTAGATGTAGTGATTAACTCGAAAACAGCTACTCCAGAATTGCGTAATCATTTACTCAGTTTCATGCTTTCTTTAATGGGAAAACCATTTTGTTTCCTGCAACCAAAACTTCTACACTTGCCTGTATCATCCAAGAAGAATGAATCATTAATAGAAAGTATCGTATCCACTATGGGATTATTGTCTGGCGATTTACTACGCTTTCTACAATTCGTTGATGATCGTAACAAAAATATTAAACTGCCCGAATCAACTGAGCTCGAAGATAACGTGAACTCCGAAATATTTCATTTTGGGTACGAGGACAAGATATCGAATTTGGCCTACGCTCATTTCTATTACTGCCTCCTAGGAACGGAATCGTTACAGAAATTTATTCCACAAGTATACCATCCTCATTATATCATGCACACTTGTTTCTATCTTTCGAACTGTCTTATAAAAACGTCTAAATGTATGCTAATTTCTAAAGGTCTAGAACTAATGAAATATATTCTTGACCTAGTAGACAGTCAATCGGTGGGTTGTGATGCGTTAGAATTAGATGTACACACGAAGCTCCTTAAAAGTATTACCAAAGTAATGATCTCCTGCGATTCCAATGAATTGCGAAAAACTGCATTAACACGACTTCACGATTATTTCAAAATACTTACATTATCAGCTCGCTACCACACTCTTCTGTATCTTTACAAGACTGTTGATCATTCTGGTCTGTTCGGGGTGATAACTGGAATATTCAAGTCTTCGATAACAATGGCTCTCGATGAAACCCCACCGTATACAGCCTTTACAGGTGAAAGATTAGGAGTTCTACTAAAACTAGCTTGCAAACTGCAACACGGTTGTAACACAGACCTTGTAGAGGTTTCGGATGAAGTGATCGCAGTATTGAATCTCTTAAGATTTCTCTTGATCCGTGATAAGGACAATACGACAGGAATTTGGGATTTCATGCACGGTTTAGAAATCGATTACCTAAAGCCACTACGAGAAGGCATTCATCTATCTCGAGCACATTGGCATGTGAAGATTAAGGATCTTCAAGAAGAATCGAAACGTGCAAAAGGAGTTCCAGAAGTGACATTGACAGTAGGAGGAGAGCCGTTGCCAAGAATGTCAGTTAAGGATAAATTAACAATGAGTTATCAAGTTTTAACCACATTCGATGTCATGGAGAGCATCTTAGTTAGGGTCAACGAATGCATCTCTTCTAATAAACCAACGCAACCAATGAAAACCTAAATGAACTGCGATGAAAATCCTACACTTTATAATCTGAAAGACTACTTATCATTGTTTACATTTCTAATTATACGGTCTATTTTTTGAACCAGAAATTCAGGAATATGCAAGTTGGAATTAAATGTTATATTACCTGAATTGTGAGCATTTTATATAATAAAGTATCGTATTAATTTTTCATTATGTAACTAAGACTTCATCCCGTTAAATCTAAAATCCTTTTCTAAGTCTTCCTGAAAGTTTCATTTTTACAGATAAAATAAACAATGAAAAGAAAGCAGAAAGTCTTGATTATGTTCCAGGACTTCGGCATATCTGGACATCTAGGATATTACTTCAAAACCAGTCACAGAGCACGGGCGTTGAAGAACAAAGTGTCGAGGGTTCAGGCAATGAAAACGATGAAGAGTACGAAGCAAATATTAAGTCTAAGATACTCTCAGCTGCGTTACCATTCGTACACGATTATGGGTGGAGTCAGGAAGCTATTGCTGCCGGTATGAACACTTTAAATAGTTCCTCTAATATGTTGGCATTCGCTGAATTAAAATCAACTATGTTCGATGAAGGTGCGGAGTCCATAGGTTATCCAGGAATAATCCATGGAATGTTTTCGAACGGAGGAGTAGAGCTAGTCCAGCATTTTTATTCAACCTGCAACATGAAGTTGAATAAGATGCTAATGGATGACATCCGAGCCATCCAGGATGACCCATCGAAGAAGAGGAAGGATCCAGAAAAACAAGTTTGCGATGCCCTAAAAAGTAGATTAAAAATGTTAATACCCTACAAGAAAACCTGGCCACAAGCAATGGCTCTTATGGCACTGCCACCGAATGTACCGACCTCCTTAGCCAATATTCTTACACTAGTTGATGACATCTGTTATCACGCCGGTGACAGATCTGTCGATGTAAGTAAGCAGATTGAAAGTACTTATCGATGTAAACCATACAAATTCTTATTTCTTTAATATCACTCTAGCATAATGTCTACATCATTCTTTTTCAGTTCAACTGGTACACAAGAAGGGTAGCCTTGGCTGGAATCTATAAGGCAACGGAACTTTACATGCTACAAGATAAAAGCGAAAATCACAAGGAAACTTGGAAATTTCTGGAAAGACGAATTGAAGATGCCATTTCCATCTACAAAGTCCTTTCAGTCACTTCAGAGTTCCCACCACCAGATGAAGCTTTAAATAGAGCTACCGAGGCTGCCACTGCTGCTTTTGTTACGGTAAGAAACAAATGTAATTCTAGACTTCTGTTACATTCTCTTTTCTTAGATCAAATTGCGCTCAAAAAGTCTCTACTTAAAAGATTGCGTCCTATCGCGAATAATATATCTTTTCTCCCACTAGGCACGAAATATACTCGGAATTAACTGGAATAGATAGGAAAATTCTTGAATTTCATGTAAGTAAAAAACAACCAGCCTTACAAGAAAACTCAATGAACAAGTAAAGTAATATGTATATTGTAAGACAAAATATAACACTAATTCTAGAAATTTTCTTGTGTATCAATTTTCCTCCTGATCATTGAGTCATGCAAAATATATTGTAACACGTACTTTATGCAATGATATACTGTTAATCCAACAGATACAATATATTCTTAATCGAAATTATCTTTGTTGCTGAAAAATATATGTAATACGAATTATAAAAATGTGACGAGGTATCATGCCAGTATCGATAGTAGTTTGACGGTACAACTAACGGTATCACTAGCTTAACTTTTAAACCGTTATACTTCACTTCTTAAATATTTAGTCACGTAGAAACATCTTTATAATTCGCTGTGTTCCCTCACATTCTTTTACAATGGTAACTGTCTAGTGATTTCTACGTGTAATGTCTCCTCGACTAGTGAAATTACATGTAAACAAGTAATTTGTTAATTAAAACGTGTTTTGATTGACCTGTACTCAGTCTTCAACTTTAGAATGTATCATTTTAAAGCAATCGTTCCGTTTTATTAACACTTATGTACTACATAATATTTAATATGTATACTATACATCATATGTATCAAAAGATTCATATTTACACACAATATTTTTTTTAATCTAATATAAATCGTTTGCATCATCACACAAGTAGAACCATAAGGCATTTTACTCTCACTATTTGATCGTTTAGCATTAACGACTACTATACACTGGGTCCTTGAACGGTTACATACTTTAACCATAATTTCTTTAAAATCTGTTTTCAAAACAACTGACCTATTAGACAAGGTGAAATCAGGGCACATATGATTAAAGAATTAGAAATATCTCATCCCTTACACAAAGTCAATATTTAATAATAAGTCAAAGCTTAACGACCTGAATAATCAGCACAGACTTTTCAATGTTTCTTAACGGTTTGAGTACCAGAGGTTTTTAAAAAAACACGGTCGAAAAAAGCCGAGCAGCGCAATAGCGCTTTCTGAATGGTATACGAAAAGATTCAAGTGGTGCGATAGTGCTCCTTTTATTGTATCGAAAAATTCATCTGAAAATGCGTCTGGAAAGTTGAGCGCGTTTCGTCACATTGTGAGTACGCGGTCACTTGTCCATATCGTTCAAATGCACTGGGTTTTTCCGATATAAAATCTGAAGAGCACGAAAGCGGTGCGTGGGACTCAAACGGTTAATATCACCCTAATAATAATATTTATATAAAATATATAGCAAAAGTGCATATCATCTGCACAAGAAAGTGACCATTCTGTAACAAGCATTGGCGTGAAAATGAAATAAAAATCTCAGACAAGAAAAACTAGACTCCAATTCGGAGATATTACCCTGATATTTTTTCTCGTTATGCACAATGTGAAAACATTGCGAATTGTCAAGATTACTGTGGTTAATAATGTGCTTCTTCGATATATCCCCTAATAGTTTTTGGTAAAGGCAACTTATGTATATTATCTAAAGTTGTGTTCTGACGAATAACAAATCGACATAAATATTGCAAACTTCTAACCTCAGTGAATCGACTCACAGGTTTTGTCAGTCTTACAGGAAAAGATGGGGAGCCAGGAAATTTGGGTCTGGAGTAGCAGAAAACTGCTGTCTGACTGAAGTTCATAGAATGGTCGATCAGTGCAGCTACCGATGTGAACCCTTCGGTCTCGGATTGATTGCATAAAGAAAATAATCCTCCACTATGTTCCATACGTGAATGCAGAAGTTTTCCTGCAGATTTGAAGCTGAGGGTTAAAAGATATCTGCAAACAAAAAATATGGACTATTAGTAGACTGGAGCATTCGAGTAAATACAATTATTTTCAAGTTTATAACCTGTCATCTGAAGAATCTCTGACCAAGAAAGCACCGTCAGGTTCATTCAACAGCTTTGCATCTACTTCATCCCCGGACAACGGACCCCAGTACCAACCATACTTGCTAAGTTTTAGCAGTTCCTTTGTTAGACTGGCTTTCGCCTTATTTTCTCCACTATCTTCCACAACATTTCTTGAGTTACTTGATCGTGGTTGCATAACGTTATCATACCTCATGACCAAATTATTGAAACTTGGTCGTTGTATGGATGAACAATGTTCTTGAATACTCTCATCGTTTCTATACTCGTCTTTATTTCGAAATGACTCTACTTTATTATTTATTTTAGAATTGGATTCCTCGTTATTACCCACATTCTCTTTAGAATCCTCAGAGGTTACAACTTGATCTATAGTTGCTGACCACTGATTTATAGAATTAGTTCGTGCAAGGAGTAAAGGTGCTTCAAACGAAGTGATAACCGTACCTTCGTTTGTTCTATTACCAGTCTCGACAGCCTTGATCTACAAACAAAACCATAGCCAAAACTCATTGAAATCGTCCGATTTAGAGAAAAGAGGAAGTTAACTTTAAGAAAAAATTGCACCGACCTTTTGTTTAGACCTATGCAGCATGAATTTTGATATACACAATCGCTTTTTGATGTTCCTGAAGAACCCAGATGGTTTTCTTCCAGGCGTAGAGTGCGGATCTGTCTTCACGTCACAGTTCCTAACCTGTTCAAGCATCTCGTCGTTCTGTGAGTTTTTAACGGCGCTGGCTGGCCCATTTTTCCATTGAAATTTGAAAGCATTCGTATTCATTTTACGAAAACGAAAACCGTTCTGATGAACGGTATTTTTAGTCGAACTCGATGCCATGATATCGCGCTGACTTTGATCAATAATGTAATCAATTGAGCAGGAATATCCACCTGTATCCACCAGAAACTGACATGAATAGCCCACTTTACTTCACTAATTATTCCACGCTCTAATTTTACACACTTTAACTTGAGCTTGAACAACAATGAACAGATTGGTTCGAAACTTGATTTGACTAATTACATCTCTGGCTATCAGACCGCAACACAGAAAGACTGTAACCTCTAATTCTCTACTATCTTTAGAAGGTGTCATCTCTTATCTGCATATAGAAACTGTTCCACGTTTAGTTTGGACGCGCTCCTTGTTATCCTACAGATGATACATTTTTGACTGAAATGAGAACGAAAGAATTTTCGATTCGTTAGGTAACGTCTGAACCTGTCATGTAACAAGGAGCATGTCCATGCTAAGTGTGGTCAGTCAGAATCTGTCAAATCATTCTTAGACGATGATGAATACGATCTGAACAATTAGCAATGATTTGTTTGCAGTTTTAATAAGAATAAAAGTGCGAGCAATGGGTCGCAATGACAATTTTCTTTATAAGGACAGCGACATAAAGAGCACGTTTCTCGTAACCTCGTTTTGATCTTAATTTGAACGCAGTAGAATTTTCAGTAATAAGGGAAGTATTAAGTAATAAACGAGGTTCTTTATGACACTGATAAAAATGGTTTCGACGTGGCATCAGCAAGTGTTTGCTCTCGATGCCAAATATAATTCACAGCGTGCAGTGAATAGCCCTGGATTTGGTATGTGTGATCATGTATTTACTGTACGACTACACATTTAATCTCTTATTCAGTATATATGTCTAATGTAAGTTAACTAATTGTAAGTTAGGTAAAGAAATTGTTATTCATTTATAGCAACTTTGTACATACGTCGAAGAAGTCAGCTGCTGCGAGAAAAGTTGTCCAGGAACTCTGAACTTAGAACACAATATTTGAAGCTACGCTCGGAATTACTCCGGCGTCGATATGGAGGAAATGCAGAACAAAGTAGCCTTAGTAGTCGTATAACCTGTGACGAGAGTATAGAAACGGGTTCGAGTTCACAAGTTATACCTCGAAAATCACCCATGGAGAGTATTGCCTTTGCCGAAGTACATCATGTATTCGACCAGCATACCGCAGCAGTGACGATGCTGAGATTTGCTAACAACGACAGATCTAGACTATGTTGTGCATCCTTCGATGGATATATATCAATATGCGATGCAACCAGTTCTCCTCCATCTGTATTGACACTTCTAGGCGGCCATCGAAAAGGTGTTACAGCCATAGACTGGAGTACAAGCAATGACTTGATTGTATCGGCGTCTTTAGATGGGACGGTTCGTCTCTGGAATACCCATTCCAATCCTGGACCAAACTGCCTCAGGGTTGTAGAAGACCAATTTCATGCCGAGGTGCTTTGCTGTGCCTTTGTTCCCATGAACAATAATCTAGTAGTTACTGGCAGTTCGCAGGGATTACTGCAAGTACTGAACATATCTACAGGAATATATCCACGTGGCGGGTCTTCAAAAATTGGTGGAAAGGTTTAAATTTACATAAGCTAATGCTACTCAGAGATTCAGAATTCTTGTCTGATCTCTCATTATGTCCAAATATTAAAAGCTACTTCATTTAATTTCAGATTCTATGTTTAACATGCGAGGAAAGTGGAGGTTCTTTGATATGGGCTGGTAACGACAAAGGGAACATTCTTTCCTTTCGTCTGGATTCGATTTCAGGACGACTGTCAAAACTTAAGAGGGTGGATATAAGTTTGGGAGCCATAACATGCCTTTCATGGCGATCCTGGATGTCAAAAGAAGCTCCTTGGCCAACTGTTCTCGTCAGTAGCGCCAGTAATTTCGTTTTTCTATATCGTGTCTCCAATGGCCAAGGTGCTTTGTCACTTTGGAAGAAGTATCCAGTCCGACACAGGTGTGTACAAATTATTTACATTGCAGTTATGCGATGACGTATTAAATAATTCCGTTGAAATAAATTTTGTAACCATGCAATTTCAGGCAATATTTAATTCGTTCCGCATTTTGTCCTCAAATGGGAACATATCTAATAGCTTCAGGCTCAGAGGATGGATCGGTTCACCTGTTGGACACCTCTCGAGAAGGCAAAGCAGCCCGAGTGAACAGACTTCATGGACATGCAGCTCCAATACTGGCTATCTCTTTTAATTATGACGAGTCTCTCTTGGTGACAGGTGATCATCAAGGTCTTGTCATCCTATGGCGTAACAGGCAGCGTAATATCTAAGAAACAGTTTCCATATAAAGACCTGAAATTCTGTCAATTGTGCAATGGTGGGTTCTAGAGTTATACACATAATTTATAACAATATATTAATTGTCCTCTATTCAAGTATTAACCTACAAAGTCATAACAATGACAGTAGTAATGACATTAGCAGAGAAGTAGGTGTGGCAATGAGTGTTGTTTGCGGCAGCAATAGCTATACTGTGGTTACATTAATAATTCTGTAATAACAATATTATTTTTATAGTGGTAAAGAAATACAATGTGGTTATGGTGATGACGGCACGGACTATGGTTGCTCTGCTTTAGAATTAGACTTTTCCAACAAAGCGACCTTGTAAAGGGACGTGGCGGTGTACCAGTCGGATGAATGAATTGTTGCTCGGTGATAATGTACCTAGGATGATAACACCTGACAAGTGAGTACTTCAGCTTCCCGGGTGAATGTCTTTTGGAATGTAGTAACCAATCAGAATTTTATTTCACTAGCTCTGAGTTTATGCGGGTAATTGATTACAACTGACTACTGTTTATCTCCATAGGCGAAAAGAGCTGATTCTCCGATCCATAAGACTAGAAAAATGACAGATTAATTGCAGTTTTTTCTTTTTTTTTCTTTAACTTTAAGACGTGGTCGTTAATTTCTAAATCATGCCGTTTAATTCTGAAAAATAATACTAGAGCAGTTCCTACGTTAAGGGAAAGAATGGTTGGCTCATAAATTAGCAACTGTACTCCTTGACGCTGCACCTTCGATTAATTAATGTACACGATTTAAAAAAAAAAAAAAAAAGAAGAAAGCTGAAAGAAGTGTTTAATTCCTAAGAAGTGGTGTGTGACAACGTTGTCTCTGGAACTATCAATTACGCTTCGTTAAAGCTTCTCCGCTCGTATGAATATTTAAAACTACCTAATAAAAAGTACGTAACGGATGTCGAATAATAAAAAATAATATTCAACTATTACAGTGCCAACTATCGTGTTTGCTTGCGATATGTAGAACCAATGTTAATCTGTTAATTGAGAGAAACAGTCGAGCGATAACTAATCAGAATGGCACGATAAGGTGCATCCTGTAATAGGTAAAAATTGCCTGGCCTACAGGAGTAGATTAGCTCCTATGCATCAGCTTTGTGTATATTGACTTCTTTTAAATAGTTATACTAATTCTGGCGAGCTACCGGACTCTCGAAACTAGTCGATCGTTTCCCATGATCTTTCGTCGCGATACGCTTGAATTTACTTCCCACCATTCGTTCGTTAATGTTATCTGGTTCCCCTCTGTTGCAGCTGCTCGAGTTCTCGAGTCGAGTCCAACTAATTCCGCCGGAAATCGACAATAGAAATCAGTCTGACATTATTCGCACGATAATACCGCTCGTCGAAAGAGTTACCGGAGGGAACAGTTGCTCAAGCTCGGAGGTTCTTTCGCAAGGCGATCGTTTTTTCGAAATCCGGAACGAGCCGAAGTTGTCCTGGAAATGGGGAAATAAGGCCAGAAATTACGAAGAAGGGAGATCATAATTCACGTAGTGTACTGAGTCGAGTATTCATAAACGCTTCGAATATGTCAACAGAACTAATCCGATGAAGTTGCAGGCGAGAATCAACCGGTTGAATTGCAATTAGGACCTAGTTGTAAAAATTCGTCTCAAGAGTTTCAACCCTCATCACAGATCCGTTTCGTTTCGTGAATCAACCCGCCGGAACGTCGAAATTAATTCCGTCCAACCTCTATCACAGGGTTGTGTCGTGCCTCGAGGCGTCATCGCAACGGGTTAGCCTAAAGGGGGAATAAAATACAGAAAAGAAGAGGAAGAACAAAGCGTCCTTGCTCGCGAGATACGTAATACTCGTGTAAAATAGAGAGCTTCTTTTCGACAGAGGGGCCCGGTCGAGCCCTCGATAAGACAAAACGGATAAAAACGATCAGTTTCGCGGAAAGACTTCCGCGACTTTCTCCCATAGAGTCCGTCCAGACGACGCAAATCACCGGACACCGATTGATATATAAAATAAATTACTAACGCAGATTGACCGTGATAAAAATTAACACTTGCACCAGTTTGTCATTAAACAGTCGGCAGGGGCGACCGCGATAATTCTCGAGGTTCTGTCGAATGGGAAATAATTGCATTTCAGGCAGCGAACGGTGCGAGGCTCTCAAACCGCCGCAACGAATTCCCAAGAGTACGAGTGGTAGCGATGGAGAACGTAACGAGGTTCCCGAAACAATGGGAAAGATAGCGACGACGATGGAGCAAGATTATTGCGTAGGCACTACATTGTCAGTGCGAAAGAACCGTGCTAAGAAATATTTACATACGAAAACGGAACCTCTCGTTGCTCATCGAGGAGCCTTTCCTACCTAGCTGGACGGCGACGCTTAATGCGTATTCAAAGTTCCCACGTTTAAGAAACCATCCACGAGAGGCTCAACGGGCCGAAATCGTTCCTTCAAGGTCGCCTCGTTGCACCAGATGCAGAAAATCACACGACTGACAAAACCTCGACCTTGTATAGGCTTTCTTCAAATGAAAGCAGAGTCAATAGTCGCGTCTACAACTTCCATTGAATCAGCGAAGCTAGTCCTGTCGATTGTACATCAAATCGGTCCGCGTAATCCCACCTTAAGGGGACGTGAAAGTACATCCGAGGTGTCAATAGTTCATGAAACTTCTGCAAACCATGTACCGAATCGTTACAAAATTTCCAACATGAATCCTGACTCCACGAAGAAGGTCCCTCCACGCGTGAAATATCATTTCTATAAAAATTTTCAAAATGTCTGTAAACAAATCTGTAAACAATGGAGATTTCACGTGTGTCGGAACCTTCCTTATAGCCTCCGTATTCATGTAATAAAGTTTGAAGCGATTCGGTACACGCAGCTTGAACAAAAGTGTCATAAGCGAGATCTCTGAGAGCCACTTTCGCATCATCTTAATACCCTCATCTATGCTCAAGTCTGAGATACTCTGCCCATCGCTTGGGAGCTGTAAATCCTCAGAAAATAGGTCCTACTAAAATCTCTACTTAGCGCGCGTAATGAGCATCTAATTGGTCGATTCTAAACGCTAGAAAAATTATCTGGCGAATCATCGATCTCTCGCGTTCAGTCCGATCGAATAGACGAGGGCAATCCTCGGTAGAGTTCTCGCAATGCAACCAAGAGCTTCCGATGGACCGGTTCGTCGACCACCACGAAGAACAGAAAATAAACCTCGGTGCCCAGTCGCACCGGTTCTGTATACATACCTCGTGTATATGTACAATGCACAAAGTGGAGTCGAGACCGAGAACCTTAACCGCGGGTTTGAAACAGTCTATCGCGAGACTCGTTAGTCGGGACGGACTTTGGCTTACTTTTACTTCTATCCTCGTGAACAGTTCTCTGACTCGGAAGTCGAGGATGCCGGCAGCGGCCTTCGCGCGTCTTCGATTTCTACCGTGAGCTCCGTCGAGAAACTTTCAACTGTCGGAGGACGGAAGTTGTTCCTTAGGTGGGACCGATAGTATACTTTCATTGGTCTTCAGCTCCCGCTTGGCTCGTTTAGATTCGAGTTCGAAGTCCTCTTCAGGGTCCAGGGACTGCAGTCGGTTGTCAACCGACTCGCAGTTCTTCAAGGACCTCTTCCCAGGTGCAGACTTGGGCACATCCTGGGTCTTGTTCGAGGCTTCCGGAGAGGCGTTCTTCACCAGGTCGTCCTTCGAGATACCAGAGTCTTCCGGAACTCTCGTTACGGTCGATAATTTAGGAATCTCTTCTATTTTCTCCAGGGAAGGCTCCGAATCCCTCAGGATCTTCTCCGGCGAGCTTTCCGCCACCCTGAGGACTCCCTCCTCCGAGGTGGACTCCTCCTTCGACGAAGACTCGACGGACCCTGGGATTTCCTTTTCCGACGAAGGCATTGACGCCTCCTTCGTTCCCTTCTCGATCACGGGATCCAGGTCGATCTCTTTGCTCTCCTCTGCCTGTTTCGTGGCGTTGCTAATCCCGCTGGAATTTCCGTTCACCGAGGATAAATTCAGCTTCAAGCGGTCCCTGGTATGTCGAAGCTCTCCCAGCTGTCGCTGGTGTTGCCGTTGCTCCTTCTCCTCCCGTTGCTTCGCCTCCATGTCCTCCACCTTGGCGTCTCCTTGCTGGGGCCAGTCAGGTTTCGCACCCCCAGCTCCTGGGAAGAACTGACTAACGTACTTTTCATCCCCGCTCTGGAACTGGAACGGACGACTCGAGCTGCTAACGTAGAACTCCGCATCTCCTGGAGCAAAGAAAAATGAAAAAAAAAATGAAAACAAGGTTTTAAGCATGAATTAAAAAATATCGTAGAGTATTACGGAGTCATCTAGGAATATTAGCAAGCCAATCACCGTACCACTGTGGTCGGTGTCGTCATAGTCCAGCGGATACAGGTCCAGCTTCGGCTCGTCCATCATCACCTCCCAGTCTGCGACATCGAGTGCCAGTAATTTGTTATTAATTAATTAATTAGTACACGTTACGTGTTGAAGAGGCACTTACCAGCGTAGGACGTCGGCTCCCACGCCGTGGTGGACTGGACCGGGTTCTCCGTAGCCAAGGACTCCTTCGGGTACTCGTAAACGCAGTGATAGAGCTGCTTCTTGAACCATACGCTCTTCTTCTGGTCCTGCACAAATCGTATCTCGTTTGCAGTCTTATGACATAGGAGGCACCGCGCGACGTCTTTCTCGAGGAACGGAATTCTCGTCCCGAGGAAAGGTCTATCCGACAATTCCATAAATAGCAATCGACCGGATAAGTGGCAAAGCCTTGCCTAAGGACACCCTGAGTTACCTCGTACCTGGACCTGACGCATCACACCTACCGATTCGTCCTGGCAGCAGGAACGAGAAAAGAAGCTTTGATGAACTCGAGGTCAAAAATATTCGACTCGGAGTACGAGCGTCTTCCTCGGGAGCAACTTACCCCGGACTTTTGAGTCTTGTCCGGAGATCTGAGAGCTGATCTATGAGGCGCCAGGGTAGCGTCCCAGGTCGACGGCGTAAACTCCTCCTCCTCTTCCTCGTCATCTTCCTGTTCGCCTTCCCTGCCCTCCTCTTCCTCCTCATTCCGCGCCTCCACGTGTTCCTTTCCCTCCAGGATCCCAGGACTCCCGGTCGTTCCTGTGAAGTTCCCTGGAAGCATCCTCGTCTCCAGGTCGGCTTCGTCGTACCTCTGAGAACGTTTATAAAACTCGGAGTAAGTAAAATGCCACTTATTGAAATATTAAGACAGATATTTCCACATAAAGTATCGCAAGCCAATGGAGTACCTTCCAGACAAACTCCCCGGAACTGGAGCTATTCTCCTCATCGTCGTCGTCCTCTTCTTCCTCGTCTTCGTCTTCCTCCTCGTCCTGACTATCCCAGTCCTGCTCGCTGCTGAAACTGGTAGAGACGAGGTCCTCCTGCATGGGCAAGGGTGCCGGGAGAGATGTCGGCATCGGAGTTGGCAAAGGAGCTGGCAGAGGGAAGGACGAGGTCACCTGCTGCCACTTGAGCTCATCCTCGGGGCTTGGAAGAGGAGCACCACCTCCTCTGCGAAGCGGTTCCTCGGTTCCCTGAAATCTCCTGGGCGAAATGAGGTCGTTCGACCCGGAGTCAAGGTTCTCTTCGTCAGAGGTGTCCCTGTCCCCGTGAGATTCCCCTCTGCCCTCGACGAGCACGGCCCCGTTAGTCCTAGTGTCCACCAGGAGCAGGTCCTCCGTGGGGGCCGATGTCACGGAGGCCACAGAGACGTCTCTGGAGTCTTCTTTCGAGATCAAGGACTCCGAGTTCACCGCCGACTCGCGCTCCTCCAGGATCGGGCTGAGTGGCGTCCCATAAGCGTTGTACTCTATGGCGATGTCGATGGCGGAGGCGTCCTCGCCCTCCTCGTCTTCCTCCCACCTCCTGGTGTCCGAGAGGCTTGAGATGACCGGCTCCTCGTCCTCGCGACGCGGTTCCTGGGCCTCCACGACCGACATCTGAGCTCGGGGTAGCTTTTCCCTCAGCTCGTTCCGGATGGCAGCAACGAAGTCCTCCTCCGTCCCGAGGGAGACGCAGGAGTTGTCGCTGCGAGGACTCACTGTGGAGCTGTCCTCCTCCTCGTCCTCGTCTTCGTCCTCCTCTTCGTCTCCTCGCATCGGAAAGGGGTACTCTCCAAGGTCCTGGAAACTGGGATCCTCTTGCGCGCCGTTCGCCAAAGACGCGTCTTTTGGTCTTGGGGGATCCTTCTCCTCGAAGACGTCGTTCACGTGGTCAGGACTCGTCTCTTCGAGTACTTTGACTCCGTCTTTCTCGATTGCATGTTCGGAATTTCCATTACCTGTGCCGCTTTCGATCCTCTCGTCTAACCCTTCCGGGGAGGAGGACTCGTCCAGGGCTCTGCCTAATTCGCTGGGAGTAGCTCGGTACTCCGCGTCGAGGATGGTGTCCAGCTCAAAGAGGATCCTCAGCTGCTCTTCCTCAGTGCAGACCGACTCCTTGACCGGAGGATTCTCCTCCTCTTCGCAGGACTCCTTGTCCCGGAACCCGGAGTCCGAACTCCGCTCGTCGTCTGGAGTGGACGGGTGCTTGCGGTCCTCTTCTTCCTCCTCTTCACAATCCGTGGAAGGCTTCTTCCCCTCCAGCTCGAGGTCTTCCGCGTTGGAAGGCTCGTCGTCGTCGACATTTCTTCTAGAGCGTGGAGTATCGGGGGTAGAGGCCGTCGCCTCGTCGACATCCTCTTCGGGGAGAGGTGCCCTCTTTTCTCCCGCGTGATCTCCCGGAGCGGAGGATTCTGGAGCGTAGCGAAGAAGTGGCCCAGGGTCCCCGCTATCCAGGAGCCTTAGAACGTGACCCTCTCCACGAGGAACACCCAGGTCAGGTTCTTTCCGACTCGGTTCCAAGGAGAGCCTCAGGATGGGCGTGCATTCTTGACTCGCTAATAAAGTACCGAACACTTCAGCGGCTCCTGGGGTCTCTTCAGGGGACTCGCGAGCCCTGGATCCGGGTAGAGGATCTCTTAAGCGTCGCAGGGCGGCGTCGAACTCGTCGGCAAGTACCGTGCCCCTCAGGTCTCCGTCACTCCCACTGGAAGGGGCCTTTCTCCTAGGTGGAGGTCTTTCGGTACCCGGGGGATTCAAGGAGCGATCCGCGTCGGAGTCGGAATCGATGTGCACTAGGACCATCAGGTCGGTGACGGACTTAGACTTCTGCTCAACCTTCTCGGTGTAGGCGCCGCGTTCAACCCGACCGCGCCAGCTCTCCTCCTCGGTCTCGGAACCTGACTCAGTGGCTGGAGCTGGTACACCGCTTCCGGGAACGTTCCTCACGGGCTCTTCAGGGCCTAGGCGGAAGGATGCCCTTGGCAGGATCTCGGCCTCATCCAGGACCACACGCAGATCCTGAAGACTCGCGCTCCGGGCCCGCTCGACTCCCGAGGAGAAATAGGAGCTTGCGTTGGGTCGCAGGACCTCCCAGCGACGCTCAAAGTCTTCAGGGTCGACCGACCTTCGGCTCCCCAGGACTGCCCGCACCTCGTCCAGCCCTCGACGGCAATCGGGGTCCAGGTGTCGACAGAGAACGATCGCCTCGGCGAACTCGGCAGGCTGCGGCTCCTCCGTAGCCGCGCCTAAAGATGGCGGCTCGCCTCCCGTTGATCCACATTTCAAAGACAGTAGCTCTTCGATGACTCGCTCGTCGCCTAGAGCATCGTAAGGTCGCTCACCCCAGCTGGACAGCTCCCACAGGAGTACGGCAAAACTCCAGAGGTTCGCTCTAGGAGTGATCTCCCGCGTCTCGATCGTCGTCTCCGTGCACTCCAGACTCTCCGGGGCGCTCCATCGAATCGGCAGCGCCCGGTCACCGACCACGTAGTAATCCAAGGGATACTTCTCCACCCCGGTGCCGTAGTCGCCGAGCTTGGCGGAGAGATCGGAGGAGACCAAACAGTTCCTCGCCGAGAGGTCGGTGTGCGAAAACCCGTGGTCATGCATGTGTTGTAAGCCGGCAGCGATACCCAGGGCCATCCTTCGAGGAACGTCTTCGACTAAGAGAGCCTCTCGCGATCTCGGGTCCCGGTTCGACCGCAGAAAACCTTTCAGATCTCCCAGGGGACACGACTCGAACAGGAGGAGGTAAGGGTCCGTCTCGACGCAGGCGCCGACCAGGGTCAGCAGGTTGCCATGGCGGAGTCTCAGATACGACGTGGCCTCGCCCAGGAACCAAGATTTCTCCTTCGTCGAGGCGTCTTCTCCGAGTATCCTCACGACCACGCCGCCGTTTCCGGTGATCTTTGAACCCTCCTCCAGGTCGGCTCTACCCTCCACCACCCTGCCGAACCATCCTCTTCCGATCTCTCTGAGATACTTGAGCCGCTCTCTCGGCACGTGGAGGTGAGACGCATCGAACCACTCGCGGCATGGATCGTATACACTGCTGGTATCATCCTGGTTCCGATCCTCTCCGAAGGGCGAGTTTGAAGGGGGCTTCGGCTTGGCAACTGCCTTGGATGCTGCCACCAGCTCGTCCACCGGCAGGGGCTCAAAGTGCACTGGGTCGTTCGGAGCCCGGAGCCTTGGCACCTCCAGTTCCAGACCTCGGAGAGCATTCTCAAAAGTCAGATCCTGCACTGTGGAACTGCCGTCCTTAAACTCCTACGGTAATGAAAGTTCTAATATAATATTTAGCACAGACGTGGGAAGGTTCGTCAAATCAGCCAAGCAACAAGCTACATTTCCTATGAATCTACTATCGAGTGGTCTCTAGGTTACCTGCTCTCCCTTTTCCCCTTGGTCCTATAATTAAAAGAAAATTCATTTTCTTTCGACTGGCGCGACTCTGTGCGCGAATCTCAGCCCGGCCGCATGCTTGGAAACAACTCTGACGCGACTTGCATTAAGGGAGGAGTGCGACGTGGGCTTTCATGAGCTCAGGAATTGCTCAGCGTTGGCGTGCAACCGGGCTCGGAGAAGTGTCACGGTGTAGTCTCGAATTATAATGGGAGTAACGCAAGTCATAAGCCTACCTCAAAGCCTTTGGGTCGTCGGTTTCTTTTACAGCACAGACACCCAACCAGGGTAAGCGCTGTCGCCGTAACTCCGAGCAAGCCTACTGTGAAACGAAGCCAGTAATGCTCCCAGTGCCAGGGCCAAGAAGAACCATTATTGGAATCTAGAAAGAGCGTTTATTAGTTAACAATTGCTTCTCATCTCCAGAGCTCCACTTTGTCAAAGCCCGTTACCTGTAAGAAGGGGTCCAGAAATGGGATAGGCGGTGAGAGCTGGAAGACTCTCCCAGAGGAGCCAGCAGATCCACCACAAGGTCCGCATGTCTCGTCGACGCTCACATCTTCCTCGATGATACCCAAATAACTAGAGCCATTCCAAAGTAGCTTATGAAAGTTTCTTGGTAACTACGAGGTTAACCTCTCCAATGTTTCCATATTCCATAACTCGTGTCCCCCTCTCTTTGAGTCTCCGCTCTTATTAATCTCGCATGAATGGTTTCGATTTCCACAAGCCCTGCCCAAAGGCGCGGCGGTATCAGATTCGTAGAAACGTTGTTGCAAAAAATCCTTGGATCACTCATGTCTCGACGTAAAACTGGACATTATGTTTTGGTTACAACTGACCTGTATATACAAGAAAGAGTGGTACCACCTTCCGCAGTCAGGAATTCCAATGTCTCCGAAAGTAAAATCTTGCGATAACATTCTTTGAAGTCACTTACTAAATGTGATTAGCATCTCCAAACTGTGTTATCGTGGAGACTACAAAGTCGAGGCAGTCCAAGATACGCGTAAATATCTTCCTCCGAGAAAACACCCGGACTGGGATCGAAACATACGTGTTAACAAACTCGAGTCCTTGATTCTTCGACTGCTTGGGGCTCGATTTCGCAGGAGAAAACGCACACAACTTGTCTAGGACTCGAGACGACGTCTTGCTCGTCGAAATACTCTTCTACTCGCTTCATTCGGTTTCGTTCATCCTCGTTTCCTCTCTACGCTTCGCACAACCATACTTGACTCGGGAGAATCGGATCTCTCGCGCTCTCTCTCTTTTTCCCTCTCTCTGCTTCTCTTTCTAACCTGTCCTCAACACTATCTATTCTTCTCTATCCGATTGCCTGTCTCGCGTCCTCTTGCTCTTTTTGACCGAGGTAAAGTGAGTGGCAAGCTGGGTGCATTTTCACGGATGTTACGCATAGCGCAATATCTAGGTGCGTTCCATGACCGCAATCGAGGTGGATAACATTGCAGCTTCTTCTTTCATTATGATAAGCGAATGAGAAAAATAATTATCTCGACATATCGTGGGATAATTTAAACTGCGTTTCTGCAGCAACGTTTCATTCCCCATTCCCAGGAATCTATTCTCACCCGAAAGCTCGGATTTCCGGTAGCACGTGTATCTGTCCAATCACAGGCCGCCATACATTGGAAACGACCAATAAGAAGTTCGGATTGAAAAATGCGAAAGGAAATGTACATACATACAACATCTGACGCACTCAATGGGACTCTGGCCTTTCCAATTACCAGCGACAAAAACGTGGAGAGAAAAATACTCCAAAGACCTTGTAGTGCACCTTACAACTCTCTGCTCTAAAATAAATTTATCCCCACCGGAATCACTGGCGTTTTTTGTAGTTCTATGAACATATCCGTATATCAAATTCCTGGCGTAAATTAATTGTTATATCGATTTATCATCAGAGTGCATACGAGTGGAGAGACGGTTGGAAAATTCGTTTCCACCTATCTTCTCTTATCCCTTCTTTGTCTATGGATACACTTTCTCGTATATTTCGCGGGTATTTCAAACCGTCTTGGCGAAGTTTGGTGGTTCGAAAATATGGCTGAAGGCGGAGAAAAATTGAGAAGATCGACTCGAATAAAAACGGTCGTTAAGCCGGAGACTAGTGACGATTTTACAGAAAGTATGATGCAAAGTGTTGATCGAGTGAAGGATTTAATGGATGCTTTATTTGTGTTTCTTGTGACTGTTTCAGAAACAAATGTGAAACGTCGATTGCCGAAACAGAGTCGCAATGATTCCAGCTCGGATACGGAGTTTGTTACAGACCCGTTAACTCAAGAATTGCAAAAAGAATTGGAAGACATCGATGAAGATGTACAAAAACCGAAAGGTATATCAATTCGAAATAAATATTCTTAGATATTACGATGTATAATGTCTGTGTCATGGTAAAGAAATATAATGAAATTAATTCATTAGAATTATTTACGGACAATGACATCAGTGGGCAACAGTTGTATGGATTTCAAACTCCTAGCAAAAAAGGTGCTATGGTTCAGAAGGCAAATTTATGTCGCACACCTACGACACCGCAAGTTATTACTCAATTTGCCAAGTTAAGGGTCATCGTTGAAAGAGCTACTGTTCCAAATATTAAATTTGTAAATAAAGGTGGTATGTTAATGAAGTTAATGTTTGATTATGTATTGTGCTAAGTTCAGCAAATTAAAATTCTAATTTTTTACAGCAACTAGATCTCATAACAGGAGCTTTAAGGAAAGAATGTCAAGTGAAAGCGAGAGTGTTTCCGAGGGAAGTGAGTTTGTGCCCTCAGACAGTCATGATGAAGAGAGCGAGGAAGCTGATACAAGTATAAATCAAACTATTGATTCCTTATTAGGTAGTAATAGCGATGAGGATAAAGTAAAAAGTACAAGAAAACAAATAATACCATCCAAGGAAAGTAAATTGCCTTCAGATAATCGTAATGAAGAGAGTGAGGAAGATGAAACAAGTTTAAATGAATCGACTGATTCCTCATTGGGTAGAAATAGTAAGGAAGATAACATAAAAACTATAAGAAAACAAAGAGGTCCATCAGTGAGTAAAGCACAAATTCCATCAACTCCTTCGGTATCGCAGAGGAGGATAAGAACTACTTATAAAGATTACGTGAGACAAATTGCTTACTATTTTAAATTGCTGATATGTATATGCAAATTCTAATGCTTATAATATGTTACAGCACTTGAAAACAGATGACTATTTTGCATCCCAGTCTGAAAAAACTATAACATCGGATCGAACCTTAGGAAGACTTGTGAATCCTCGATTAGATGAACAAAAATTACAGGAATTATTATCATCTCAAAATCATATAACAGCACAGCATAAACGCAGTATTTGTTCTCTTTCTGAAAGTTATAGAGCATTATTCTCAATGTGGTCTTTTATAATGGAGTAAGCATCAATTTAGTAACATTATGAGAAATCAGAATATTGTTTGAGATTTGTTCTAATAAAACTTAATGCTATTTTTCAGAGAAGGTTACAGTTTATTACTTTATGGATTAGGATCAAAAAGAAATCTGATTAATGACTTTCACACTGAAGTGGTATCTGAATTTCCAACACTGATTGTTAATGGATTTTTTCCAGGCTTAAGTATAAAAGATGTGAGTAAAATGAATGATGTAATGAATGCGATATACAATATGAAGCTATTTAATGAATTTAAACTTATTGTAATACTGCATTGCAGATTCTTGATGGAATCATAGTAGATTTATTAGATAAAGACAGTCCAACAAACCCAAATGATGGCTTTGATCTTATAGAAAAAATGCTGCAAGAAAATCCAATGGATCGCCTTTATTTATTAATTCACAATATTGATGGTTTCATATTACGTGCTAACAAAATTCAAGATGTATTATCCCGTTTAGCTAGCATACCCAATTTACATCTGATGGCTTCTATTGATCATATTAATGCACCACTTAGTAAGTATAATATGCTAAAAGTGTAAAATTTATCACAGAGAATCTGGATTATATTTTAATTTCTTAATATAAGGAAATGTAAGTTAACTTTAGAAACATATAAATTTAGTTATATTCATAATCATTGCATATTTAATTTTTTATGCAGTTTGGGATAATGTGAAGCGTTCACGATATAATTTCTACTGGTGGGATGTAACAACATTTTTGCCTTATGAAGCAGAAACATCTTACGAAGGTTCTTTATTGGTCCAACAAAATGAAGTTCTTGCCTTATCTTCTCTACGAAATGTGTTCCTATCATTGACTTCAAATGCTCGAGCCATCTATATAATTCTTGTAAAATATCAGTTAGAAAATGGATACAACAGCAATTATCCAGGTAAATTTACGTCTGTTTCTTTAAAACCGTTGCAATGTATATTTTGCTTAAATCTCTTGTTAACTTTTTACTCTTGATCTCAGGTATGGCATTCAAACATTTATATCAGGGAGCACGAGAAGCTTTCTTAGTAAGTTCGGATATGGCACTTAAGGCCCAATTGACAGAATTTCTTGATCATAAATTGGTCCGGAACAAACGTAACATGGATGGTACTGAATATCTTATAATACCTTTAGATAAAGCTGTACTAAAACAGTTCCTAGAACAACACGACGAATCGTAATTCTAGAGTGCCCTTTTAAGGCAATTTTATTAAATTGCCTTTAATTGATATAAATAAATCTATTTCTTTTGTATGAATCTTTATATTTTTTTACACGATGGAATAAATGGTGATAACAAACATCGTTTAAAATCTTTTAACATCTCTTACCTGCTCTTACTAATACGTCCAGCAAACTCTGCGGCGATGAACACGAGGAACGTATTACGCACAACGTTTCGAATTTAAACCAACACGGCGCGGAACATTTGTCGACGACTGACGGCATTCTCATAAGGCGACAGAGGCGTCACGCGCGAGCGCCGCGCGAAGCTCTCCGCTGCGACCATCAACAGCAAAGAGTCGCACACTCGACGCACTCGACCGGAGAGCATCCTCGTTCGGAGTGCTCGCGTTCCTCGCGTTGGCAGCCCTGGGTCGGAATCCATAGTGGCATTTCACAGCATTTCGGGAGACGCAGCGCGTTGCAACGGCGATGACCGGGTCTCGTGTCAGACGGGCGTTCGCGCAGAAATGTCAGACGTAGTCGGCGGCAGCCGAGTGGGTGCGTCGGCGAGTGATTAAAGGTGCACCGGCAGGTCGGAGCTCGCAACCATCGGGCGGACCGGTAAGTGCCCTCGTCTGTCCCGTCGGCGGCATCCTCCGCCACGGTTGTTAGTCTCCCCGTTTACCCGCGGCCTCCCCTCCGAAAGGGTCGAACGTCCTTGACTTTAGAGTCGCGGTCAGCGAGCAGCACCGCGATACGGCGAGACGCCGGTTGCGGCGCGCTGATTGGCTCGGGCCGCGACAACCTAACCTATCGGCGGCCCGAGGGGTCCTGTCGTCTCATCGAATTTCCTCGGCGATCCTCGACGATTTCGGCCAAGTAGTCAGTTCGAAAAGCTCTCGAGTGATGATTCTATAGAGTTTATGGTGCGCCGATTATGTGGATAAGAGACGACTCAACCCCTACGGATCTTGCACGGTCTTGCACGGTCTTGCACGGTTCGTCGACGAGCAGGGGTGACCACAGGTCAGCCGGCTCGACCTTCCTGCGGAGTTCCTCGACCTTGAGCTTACCGGCTGCCCAAGTCAACGCTGCGGAGAGTGATTATTATTTCAGGACTTGCCTGGTCATCTCAATGCCTGGGATGCCTTTCAATTCCGCAGTACTTACGTATAGTTCCCAGTCATTAAAATCCCGGCTCCGTGGGTGGCGGAATGTAACCCGGAGAAAGTGATTATTCTAGAGTCAGGACTGTGAGGTTAGAAAACTGCGCAACGATCGGAACTCTATAGGTATGCTTTACCTTAAGTGTAACAAATTTTTGAATTCGAGTCAGGTTTGAATAGATTGGAATTCTTGTATCAATGTTTTGAAGTCAGTCTAAAGACGTACCTAGAAAGTGAAAGGATAACATGGTTGCGATGTTTTGATTTTCTGGGCTAGTTTTGAACCCGTCGTAATCCTTTGATCGATATCTTAAAGTCAATGTGAAAAGGCCAGTCTAGAAAGTGAAAGGAAGAATGAAAGCGCAAAATCTTGATTTCTTGGCTCAGTTAGGAACCGATTGTAATCCGTGCATCGATATTCGAGAGACAGAGTCAAAAGACATCTTTAGAAAATGAAAGAATGAAGGAAGGCTGCAGTATTTTGATCTCTAGGGTCAGTTTTGAATCGACCGTAATCCTTGCATCTATGTTTTAGAGTAAGTTAGAAGACATCTTCGGAAAGCGAAAGGTTGAACGAAAGAAGTACGCAGTAAAGAATTCAAACTATACCGAGTATACGTGTTCAAGCATTTGCATTTATGCGAGGCTATAATGAAAGAGGTAAATCATTTTAGGTACCTAGTTTACAAAGAGTCATCGGACATTACATATCCTCTCTAATAAATTCAGTATTGGCAAATCGTTAAACAAGGCATGACCTTTTTGCATTTCCTTTACGTGGGGTCTCGGTTGTATTGGAAATCTTAATATTCCTCTTATGATACCGAGGCGGCACACGTGTCGAGCGTTACCTCGAGCGACTCGAGTTTTATTTTTGTACAAAGAGGTGTAGTCTCGTTACAGAAGGTTGTCGCGACTGTGCGTACTAGTTACGTCTCTTGCACGCAATCATGTCGGTTATGTCGATTCATGGGCCAGTTCGCGTGTCCCGGGGGTCACTTTGCAGGACTTACCTTGAAGAGCACTAGATTATGCAAGCTCAGAGCACAATAGTAGCGGTTAAATACAGCTCAATCAATTATTACCGCTCGTCTTCCACGTTCGCGTATTCTGTGTTTTTATCTGCAGAAACCTAATATCTCCGATATCGCGCAAGAAACACAACTTGACGTTAATGGTCACGTACTGGTTTAAAATTAAACTGCACGTGGAATATCTATTTTAGCAATGCTTGAAAATGATTACGGGTGTAGTAACGATAACGAATCAAATGTATTTGACGAAGCCAGGCTTAAGAAAATTGAGTATCGTTTGTAATATAGATTTGATAGGCGAAACGTGTAGCTATTACGTTATTATAAATATTGTTTGGCACGGGTTAACGTGCAGTCTTTATTTTTAAACAATTGGCAAAAGCCATTTCCAATCCCTCATGAGTGGGGTATAATTCCGCTTAATCGTTTCCGAGCTGGACTCTTAGATAAATGCGATTAACCGAGGGCAATGCCGAGGAAACGACTTTTAAACGGCCTTGCTCGTTTGCTTGCAGGTTCGCCGCTTTCCTTCGTCGACTGCGGCCGAAAACGTTTTGTCTTATGTTCCGGTGAGTAACCTTGCACCACGGTCCGATCAACCTCGGCGATTTTGTCAATGCTCTCGGTGAGTAACCTTGCGATATCGTTCTTGAGGCAAGCCCGTTCTCCTGCCTCGACGTCTCGTCGATCTTTCCGATCGAATTCGACTCTTCTCTCGACTCGACGAAAAACGGAAAAAAAATAACGCAATTTCGAAGCGGCCGATTCCTTCGTCGAGGACGCCAGAGGATCGATTTATAAATGTTCTTTAGCCAATCATTTAAGATATGGGAGATTTTAGTATTTATTTGCCTTTCTATGTATTCCTATATTAAATTAGCAGATGTCATCGGGTTCGTTCCTATACAGTAAGCCTGATTTTGGATTTCTATGTCTAAGGGAAAACTTGAAAAGCAACAATCAAATGCAAGCGTTTGATTCCTTATTACTTACAGCTCGTACATAATCCCGTAATGGATTTTGTCGTTTGGAATATGTGATGTACAAGGCTGAACTAAAAATAATTTGCCTCAGGACGTAGTAATAGGTTTTGCATAGAATATCTTAAAATCCTCGCACATCCCCGCTGTGAATGAAATTCAGTCAGTTCTCTTGTGACACCTCTTTACGCACACGTTAATTGCAGCTGCGCCGATTTGCGCTATTTTTTTTTTTTTTTCTTAAAATCAACGTGATGTAAAATGCACATTGAAAGGTGGGATGTATTTTTGGCAAAGGAATACTTAAATCGATCCACTGTATGTCGAGTCGGATGCGAGATGATCGAGCGATGAGCCACTCGCCTAGCGAATCATGTGTAAAGAATGCGAAAGATGACTTTGGACGCGTTCTTGAACAACGGACAACCATCTCCGGCGGTAATTTGCGACAATAAGCGGAATCGCAGTTCAGCCGTTCGTTTATTTACCATTTTATTATATTATATTATTCGTGCCGTGATTGCCCTCACGGCTCGGCCATTGTCACCTCGGTTATATCTCGCGAAATTGTCATCACCATTCGGTGTGCCTATTGTGATAGCTTAACCTAGTCGGTTGGTTATTACGCTATCATTATATGGATTCTTAAGGTGATATGAAAGGAATACATAACTAATATATCGTAACATCAAAATATTTATAAAACTGGTTTTACCAGATGCCGATGTTGCGATAACGCTCGCCACCGGTGTTCGTGGTTTAAACTCGGACAGGAACTTTCGTCATTCTTATCCGAAGCAATATAGTAATTCTTGGCTTTGTTCCGCGCTATCTTATCCGCGGGCTTATTGTTGTATCATTGCATTCCCGTAAAAGGGAACCGTGAAATGTAGCTGGAAAACTGTGGACCACGCAGTACCGGGGATAAGGATGGAAACCGTGAATTATTATCAAGTACTGCAGGAGAAACGAGCTCTAGATTGTATATTTTTCTTCTTTTTCTTTTTTCTTCGGAAAATGTTAAAGTTGCAATGGCGCGAATGCTCTTTGCGCGAACGGTCACCGCGTTACTGGTAATTAATCCTCGCGTAATGCTTAATGATATATCTTTATATAAGACTATTTTAACGTAGAGTAATTCAACTCGTTGTTAAGAAGACTGTACAGTCATTTTGGTTGTTTTGGAACGAGCGAGTGGAGGCGTAACGAGTTTTCTTTCATTGTTTCGTGAAACGGCTTATTACTCGTTTTTGAGTTACCCGGCAGCCGCGACGTTTCGCTACGAAGTTCCGCCGGGCGTTGACGGATGGCGCCAGTGGCGGCGCTTCCTGTGCGTCGCGTTTAACGTTACCTAGTTTGGTCCGTTTTTCGTCAATATCGTCTTAACCCGGTTTGATTGCCCCGCGAAAGTCAATCCTTTTTCTAATTTTCACTCCGAATTTCGACCGATATCGATTGATACGCTGCGACCGAGATTAATTAACGTCCGATTGAACTTGAAATGCCTGATCGGAAAGCCAGCGGTATCTTGCAACCAAGGTTAGGTTTTCCAGTAATCGACGCGTCTCCTCGGTAAGATGCGCACTTTTTGTTGTTGTTGTTAATGTTACGTAATGGTGAAAATTCGATGTACGTAAAAACGGTAACCTCTCGATATTTAATACCGAGTGCGCTTAGTGCGTCGGTTATTTCGGATACTACTCGTGCAAATGATGCGCGAAGAGGAGAGTTATTATTTTCATTTTCATGTTTAATCATTGTCTTAAGGAATCCGCTGGTTTGCTGGCGTAACGCGGCCTCGAGGGCACGTGTACATGTGCCCGTTGACCATCGGCATGACTCTCCGAAGCGGACTAATTAAATGCAAATTCTTGTAGATAGAATCGGGGTTCGCTCCCAACTCGGGAGAGAACTGTACCTCAACTTTGTCAGGAACGTTTCGCCACCGTATACGAGAAGTGGGTCCTTTTCTCCTTGCCCGGGAGCCCTGATTTACTGGTCGTTAGTATACGTCGAAAAAATAATTCACAGTCATGGGGAAAAAAAAAAAAGAAAAGAAAAGAAAAAAAAATCACCTCGTTCCAACGAATGTGTGTACACTTGAAAATGGGTTTCCATCGATTTTCATCGGTGTGGGCGTGCTCCACTTTAACGAGTTATGCGCGATTTGGATTCGCGAAATTCTGCTCTTGCGTGGAGAACGACAGAGAGAGGGAGAGAAAGAGAGCGAAAGAGGAGGTGCGTACGTCAGGGTTGTGTCGGCCATTAGCATAACACGATGGAGCCGACCGATTATAAACGCCAGCGGACGAGTATCGGGATTAGTGCTCGGCCGATGCATGAGGATATCGTGCCCATTGTTACGGCGCGGCTTGCCAATTGTTATCGTTACGGGTGCGGTGAATCCGCAATGCCAGCCGGCGGCCCTGGCCGCGGCTTTTGGGAAACGCTCCTTCGATTTCGGGGTCGTCCATCGACTTCCGGGATTTGTCCCTGCGCCTCCGTTCGACGCCATTCATGGCGTCGGCCTTTACGGTCGCGTCGCGACGTTTTCCTGTATATATATATTTTTTTCGTATTTTTCTTTTCCCTGTCGCGATCGAAGTGGCGTTACACGCGATCAATGTCCCGAGTAAAAGTGATAAGGCCTGCAGCGGAACCGGATTGCGCCAAACTCTCTCGGGTGCACGCGGAAAAATAATTGGCAGGCTTAAGAGAGGGGGAGAGGGCGGGCGGGCGTTATTAATTATTAAATCTTAAAATAGCCGCGCGTACCGTGCGCTAGGCCGGTGTTTCGTCACGGCTAGAAACGCGGCCGGTCGTACGCGCGAAAGAGATAGGCAGGCATTCCTTCCATCTCGAGGGTTGAGAAAGAGATTCTAGGGAAAAGTGGCACAAGGGAGTCGCGATCTCAATTTCGAATCCGCTTTGGAGCCTCGTAATCTACCGGGAGTGACTTACGTCAGCCATTTCTCGGATGGACTCATCGATGACGTTTCTCGGCATCTGCGATCCTCCCGTTGCACGGCTCGTTTCTTTGGGGATCCTTTGCGGAAGTAATGTACAAGTATACGATACGCAAAAGACGCCTAAAGGAATACCCTATGACGCCGGCATTTTGTTTGTTTTTTTTTTTTTTTACAAAAAGAAATGAAAAATGTTTTTCAAACAGATTAAATGTTGTAATAAGATAATGTCGAGATTTTAAAATTATGGGATTATTTTTATCAGGATTAAGGAAATGCTTAAAAAATTACTAATTTTTGGACGTCTTAAGGGTTCGCTCCGTTTAAATGAACCGAAGTCACGTGGAATATGCCGAGGAAAATTTTATTGATTCAAGTAAATGATATCTCGGTTTCGTGGATGCTGCGTTATTTGCCGAGGTGAGCGAAATTTCCGCGATCCTTTGGCAGAAGGATTTCGCTTTTAAGTCGAACTCGACTCAGGAGCGGTAACGAGGTCCACGTATCCTCGGGCTTACGAAATCAGCACGTATCCCACTTGGATTTTAGAGCGTGACCAAAATTACGGCTGCGGCCTCGCCGATTCGGATGGGATTTCGATCTAGTTTGCATATATACCCGCGATTTACCTGCCCTCCTCGCTGGGGGTCCTCGACACGTCATTTGCCGTTTCGAAACGAAGATCCCGCTCGACGGGCCGCAATGCGTCTAGAGTGTAGATTCAGGAAAGAAATTTTATTCCCCGGACAAAATCGCGTTTGATCGCATTCGGTTTGATTACAGAATACGTGTATTGGTTGGATGGAGCGAATGTCAATTCCCTTGACCGACTTGGTGCACTTTTACTTGACTTACTGAAAACCGAAACTCGTTGAATTTACGGGTCCCCTTCAATGTACGACCGTGTTAAGTCGCAAATTTCAAGTGACTTGAATTAACGGCGGAAAATCTAGACGGGGAGGCTCGTTTTTTTTTTTTTTTTTTTTCGGAAATTACGCGATCGAAAATCAATTATAGCGAGGCTTTCGCGTTTTGCACTTTCTCCCTGTCGTTACTTTTGCGACTTGAGAAGGGAGAGTGACGATCGGCTCGGGATTTCGATCGGTTCGGTTTTTTGGGCGCGAAATGCCGAGGCACAAAAAAAAAGAAAGAGAGAGAGAGAGAGAAGATGCGAAAATCGGCCGGGACCTTCGCAGGAGTGGAAAACGGTGTAAAGGGGGCTCACGAGGAAGTGCACGCCGGTCGGCTAACGGCGCGGCAATAAATACTCTTAACGCTTTGCGGATCTTTTATGGGTTTCCACGGACGTTACACCGCGACGACCGCCGGCGGTGCGTTTATCCGCATTTATAATTGCTCCGCGCGGCACAATGTCTCGCGAGCCTCCGCTCGAGGTGGCCTGCCCCGTTTAAAGTCGAGGTGACCTAACGGTTTGCAAATTCACGGCCACGAGGAGGCCGCCGCAAGAGAGCCGCCCTTTTTCTTTTTCCCTCCCTGCCGAGGAATTCGGGAATCCACCGGGAATTCGGGACGCCTTTACGTAGGTGCGACACCTCGGCGGCGTCGAGTCGCCGCGCGGAGCGTCGGTTCAACCCTGTTAAAAATCAATAAATCCATAAAATT